AACTGTTTCAAAAATTAACTTGTTTTCAAAATTTTACAGGTAATCCGTGCTCCAGATCCAAGTTTATTCCACCTGTATCATCGAAAGGTATGCTCAGACACTAACAGTGTGTCTTACCCAGCTTGCCTGAAATCCAAAGCAGTTACTGAAGGGTCCCAACTCCAGCTTGGCATGTCTTTAATTAAGCTCCATGAAGGAATCGATCTTGAGGGTATTTTATCTAAAAGGTGAGTTGTAATTTCATTTCTGAACAGAGAAATGTCTATTGTATATTATGGCTAGCACAGTCTGTTTGGTAAAATATTTATTGTTATATAGATTTTGTATTAGTTTATTTATACTAAAATTAGTGAAAGCTGTGGTAGAATATGAAATGTTAAATCTTTGTATAAGATTTCTAAACATCGATTTCCTGTTTAGTATAATATAGTAATTATTACAATTTACATGGAAACATGTGATCAAAGTAATACTATCACTTTGAACCAAGACTTCAGAATAATGAACAGTAATAAATGTAATTGTTCAACCTTATAGCCTTTTAGATTTTAAGGATATGATACTACAGAGATTCTTAGTAGAATAGTATAATTCTTTGGTGATTCATAAGTCACAATGTATAGAATAGGTTCTTATATATTTCATACTTCCAACTAATTCACATATGTTTATTTAAAGAAAAACAACATATCAGTGTGAGAGAAACTTAAAAAATCATGAGAAATGTACAAATATGTCACCAAAACCTATCAGATACCAAGATAAAAATACAAAGTAACATAATGTGCTTTCTTCCTTATCTCTGTAGTTAGTGGATTCTGTAATGTTCAAGAACATCCTTCATAATAACTTTTAAATGTTTGGGGATGTGTGAATATTTTTTCATCTCTGTTTTCAGATATTATATTTGTTATTCTTAAAAAATATGGATGCCTTTCTTCATAGACCATACCTTTCAAACAGATATTTCAGACATATTACAGACATGTTATTGAGTGTACTAGTTGGTAGTTCTTCAGTGCACTAGTTACTTTAACCCAATGCCACTAGGAATATGTTGCATTCACTCTAGTATTGTTTTGTTAAATGTTTCTGCACATTGATGGTTCTGCAAGTGCTTAGCAATAAAGCATTCAATTAGTAGATCTTGTAACCTCATCTTTCCTTGAAATAGCAAGAAAACACTTTCTCTACTGATGATATCAATATTAATAATGTTATTTTTATCATAAACAACATAATTACTATATCATTATTAGCATTACTAACAGTATTATTAAATACTAGAAATATTATCAGAATCAAGGAAAAGGGTAAACAAATGAGACGGGTACTTGTGACTGGCTCATTGGGGACCTAATACTTGTGGAGCCATCAGTATGTAAAAACACTTACTAAATTAAAATCTCTTGGAAAAGCAAAAATCCATCTCATGTGGCAAAGTGAGTGAACCAACCTGCAACTGACATACAAAGTCAAACCAAAAATAGAATTGTAGGATACAGCCCACAGGAAAGACAGGAGGAAGAAGGTGGTTTTGGCCACCTCAGGGTCAATGCCACAAGATAAACACACCTCACTCCATTCACGGAAAAGACTTTTCCTCCACAGTGCCCAGACTGCAATACCAGCACAATAATAAAGCATTGACTGACAACATGCCAAAAGTACAACCATAATAGACAACACCTAAAAAATTATATCAGAATCAAAAGTAAAGAATTTACCATAATAAATCTACTAGCAGATGATGAAAAAATAATACGTAAAGTAATCACTTTTCCAAGGGAGACAAAACTTTATGACCTTATCTAGATCTAGAATGAATAGGATTCATTGGGTTAATAACCTTGGCCACGTGGTTGATAGCTAAGAAATCCAACAAAAGTAAAAAAAGAAAAGAAAAAGAAAAAAAAAAGGAAATCAAACACAGCTGGCATGGTGTGTTCTTTGCACAGTACTATTCATGATGCAAATCACAATGTATGGGTTAATCATTGATATGCTAATATGTAAAGCTATTATTGTTTCCAGTAATGGCTCTATTCTGGAAATATCAGCTGCTTTTATTCGCCACATGCAGTGCTATTTTGCATAAATTTACTACTTTTCTTTAACAAAATTGAGAATAAGAAAAAATTATAATGGGTGAAATTGCCGGTAATTGTTTCTTTCCCAGAGACTAAGTAAAAAAAAAAAAAATGTTTTCCTGCAGGATATCCAGTGATTTCATTGATTCTTGGTGTTGTTTCATCTGCGAATGAATCGTTGAGGAGATCGAGTACCATTTCTGCATCGATGATCTTAATTTGATAATCCCAATAGTAGGGGAGGGCATGAAGTATATCAGGAAAATTATGGGGTAAAACAGGCTTAAATAAGAAGAATAGAGAACAAAAATGTGTAAAACTAGCACAAAAAAATGGCTAAAACTCTATTGATGTACCCACCATCTTTGAAATTCTACGGACTGACAATCTAAAATTCGAGAACTCTACGGGAACCCAACCCTCTTTCAACAAACTCTATGGGAATTCATACGTTCCAAACACCCCAAAAAATGTACTGACCAATAAACCAGCCTCGTCTAACAATTTAGGTTACAGTGACTAAGTGTATTGCCTGAGGGGAGGATTGATGGGGAGCTCTGCCCCCAAAACCCCCTGGGAAACATTCTCTTCACCACAGTATGTACAGCAAGATAGAGTTGCGTTTACATGGTAAAATAATGTACCAAATAGCTTTAAATCTGGAAACATCAAACTCCTTCATTTTTTTCTACCATCTGGATTGCTTTGATTTTAATCACGTTTTTTGGCATTTAGGCTCAGATATTAAACTGGGATGGTTACTAAAGTCTATTTATTCTTCATATCCACTTCATTGGCACATCAGTCCATAGAAATTCAAAGATGGTATGTATGTCTATAGAGTTTTATGCACTTTTTGTACTAGTTTTATGCATTTTTGTTTGCTATTCTTCATATTTAAGCCTGTTTTACCCCATAATTTCCCTGATATACTTCATGCCCTCCCCTGCTATTGGGACTATCAAATCATGATCGTCGATGGAGAAATGCTACTTGATCTCCTTAACGATTCATTTGCAGAAGAAACAACAAGAATTGATGAAATCATTGGATTGCCTGCAGAAAATTGTACATTTTTTTTACTTAGTCTTGGAAGAAGGTGTCCCTATTGGTAACAATTACCATTTTTACACATAGCCAATAGATTACACAGTATTCTTATCCAAAGTAAAGGAAAGATGAGGAAGGAGAAGGAGAGGGAGAAGGGAAATGAAAAGGACAAGCAGAAAGAGAAGGAGAAGGAGAAGGGAAGAGGAAAGGAGAAGGAAGGGGGAAAAGGGGAGTGGAAGGGAAGCAGCAAGACAGGTCCAAGGATAAGCTGGTGGTGATGATTACACAACAGTTGTTTAGCATTCCATTGCCAATTTTATTATCACTTTTGATATTGATATTATTATTATATTAAGTATTAGTGTTTTTTGTTTTATCACCACTACTGCCATTATCAACCACCACCACCACCACCACCAGTATTATTAATGATACCATTACTTCAATGAAAGAGTACATACGAGCTTGCTGCTTTGTGTTGTCTTGGTATGTCTCTCACAGTATCTAGTACCCTTTTTTGTGAGTGCAGAGTTGGAAGAAATGGCTAATAAAAGGTTTGTTTGACTGACTGTGTTTAACCTTTACAAAGAGAGCACAGGCAGCTGTTACTTCCATGAGATCTATTATGGCGCTGACCTCATTTGTGGCCACCACTGAGTGGGTCGTGTGCATGGTGATCCTGCTCACCATTGTTCCTGGTGGCAGTGTTCCTACTCACCATGACCATGGTGACCATTTTTTGTGGCAGTCACTGACCATCAGCAGTTGCTTATGCAAATCCAACCTAATACTAATGATAATAATAATAATGATATTAATAATAGTAATAATGATAACAATGATAGTGATGATAATGATATTACTGATGATATTCTTTCTTTCAAACAATATTGCCATGATAGAAGTAGTCTGTCAGATCTATGTGGTTGCTTTTTCTTAAACTGAACCATAATATAAAATGACCACATGCTCATTAGATCCTTGGTGGTGAGAGCTGTTGTTATATAGACTTGGTAATCCAATACCCTTTCCCTTTCCCCTCCTGATGAATACTGTGCAATCTATGGGCAATGTGCTGAAACACATGCCAGCCTTTCGAACAAAGTCAAACTATTGTTTATTAGTGCACATCTTTCTGATTTTTTAAAAACAATTTTTAGGTTTTTGTACAGCCTTATTTTCATATCATCCCATACTCATAGTAGCTTTATGGATTTTGGAAGTGATGATATAATTAGATCTAAGTATTGGTTATTAAAAATTGGGTGTGCCTAAAAAACAAGAATTCCTCAAAAGGAATTGCTTTAAAGAATAATCAGCTTTTGTATTGCAGTAGAGGTCTGATAAAAACTTACTATATGCCTTACCACAGGAACATACATCTTGTTTTTCTTGAGACACAGAAAAAAAAGTTTAACCGGCTCACCAATCTAGTCCTGTGAATGTCCTATGTTATATTTTCTCCTCTACTGTGAAAGTTTGAATTATATTTATAGTTTCACTTTTCTCTACCCTTCTGAATGATATATCTGCTGAATGCAGATTGAAAGCGCATCGTGAAATAAGCTCAAAGTATAGTGAATGGCTCTTTTATTCTCTTCATTATGTCATTCTTCACTTGAACGAGAGAGAGTGTGGTTGTTGGTTCAGGTGTGTGAATGTCCATGCATGCGTGTTAGCATGCTTGTTCATTCATGTTTGTAGTAGTGGGTGTAAGTGTCAGTGTGGGTGACAGTGCTTTCATGTACGTGTACATGCATGCAACTGTGTAGATGGGTATATGCAAGCATGTGCACATACATGCGCCTGCTAGTTCACTCATGCATGCGCATGGATGTACATGCGCTTGTGCACCTGCTTGAGAGTAAGCGTGAATGTAAGTGAGTGTGTACTTGTGCTTGTATATACGGGTATGCGTGTGTGTACCTACTTGAGAGTGAGCGTGAATGTAAGTGAGTGTGTATTTGTGCTTGCACATACGGGTATGTGTGTGTGTACCTGCTTGTTCACTTTTGTGTGTGTGTGTGTGTGTGTGTGTGTGTGTGTGTGTGTGTGTGTGTGTGTGTGTGTGTGTGTGTGTGTGTGTGTGTGTGTGTGTTTTCATATCACCTCATCTTCTTTGAGGTGTTTCTGCTGCTTTCAGGTCCAAGAGAAGACTGGTGAAACCGACCAGTCAGCAGTTGTGTGGGCAGAATGATACAAGCAGGAGGTAGGATAAGGGTAAAAGAGCCTCTTACTTATCTTGGGAGCTTATTTCAGTAAGATCTCTATTTTTGATATCAAAACATTTATTTTTATATAGATGAAACTTTTGCAGCTTACCATGTGTTAAGCATGTTGTGGTAGCTTGTGTTTGTATAAAATAAAATATGCAGCTAATGTATTGGCAGTATGAATCTAATTGCTGTTTATGAAGAAGATCAGGGCAAGTTTAACATAATTGCTGGAATGTTAAAGAGGAAGAGACTAAACCATAATCATCAATATTAAGACATGGCATCAGAGTTTAGTTTAAAATATTTCTCGTTTTTATTGAGGAAACACACTAAATATTGTTTTCTATTGCAGGTTCTATTACTTCTGGCTTATTCCCTATCTTGGAGGTCTCCTCATACTGTCTCTTCTCATCAACTTGGTCCAAGCCATTGTTATTCTTAGTAAACGAACACAGAACTATAGGAAAATGTAGTTTCATTCAGAAATTTAGGGGTAAGCTCAGGGCTTCAACAAGAGAAGGAATATTTAAAGCACAAAGCTTACATGTGGTTATACAAATTTATATTGTATTATATCAATCCTCAAACTTTATTTTTTCATAAAGTTGTGTGCTACTGTAGTCTTGGTATCAGTTTAATACATTCTTTATATATGTCTACTTGCCTACTGTACTGTAATGCTGTAGCCTATAGATGTATATCCATTGGTAGCAAGCAAGCATGGGTGGATACAGGCCAATGCAGGAAGAGTTTGTAGGCAATTGTTTTTGCTTGAATCTTACAATTCAAGCATTTACAGGAAAGAATCAATAAAAGAGAAGCTCTTTTAGCATAGTCATTAAAAAGTTTGTTCACAGAGGATTCACAAATGAACCAGTTCCTACCCACTCATGCCTGCCTGTGAATGCAGCCCAGGTCTTAGTATTAAAAGAAAAAGGTCTACTGAAAAATCAGATTTGATTTTCAAGTTCAGAAAAGGTTATGAAAGTTCACACAAGAACTTTAAAAAGTAGAGAGACCTCTCTGATATGTGTCATGTGAATGGTGAATGGGAGAAAAATCGAAGTGGAAGTTTCTTGATAGAATATTTACTTTCACCAGTGAGTAAATGAACTAAGGCATGGGTGGCTAGAATGTCAAAATTAGTATTCAGTATAAATGAAAGGAGATCATATGGGTTTGTTTGGCATGTGACAAAGACAGGATTCACTGCCCCC